AGACAAGAAACAAAAGAAAAAACAAAAGAAAAAACAGAAGAAAAAAAACAAATAAGCAAAAGAAAGATAAGAAAAAACTGATAAATAAAAGAAAAAATGAAAGAAAAGACAAAAAAAAGGTAAAAAGTAAAACCAAAAGGAACAAAAAAAACAAAAGAAAAGATAGAAGAAAAAAACAAAAGAAAAGATGGAAAAAAAGACAAAAGAAAAGACAGAAGAAAAAACAAAAGAAAAGACAAAAAAAAGCAGAAGAAAAGACAAAAAAAAATATGAAAAAGAAAAAGCAGTTAAATAAAAAAAAGATAGATAGACGAAAAAAATATATATATACGAAAGAAAAGACAAAAGAAGAAAATCTAAAAAAATCAAAGTTAAAAAAAAAATATATATATATGAAAAAGAAAAAAATGTAAAAAAAAAAAAAGAGTATTAAAAAAAGTGCGAAAGAAGAAAAAAACTAAAAAAAAAAGATGAGAAAAGAAGCAAGCAAAACAGCAAAAAAAGCAAGTAATAAAGAAAAGCAGCAAAGAAAGCAATATAGCAAAGAAAAGCAAAATGGCAAAGAAAAACAAAGTGGCAGAAAAGCAAAGCAGCAAAAAAAAAGCAAAGCAGCAAAAAAAAGCAAAGCAGCAAAAAAAACAAAGCAGCAAAAAAAAGCAAAGTGGCAAAGAAAAACAAAGCGACAAAGAAAAGTGGTAAAAAAAGCAAAGCAGCAAAAGTTAAAAACAACAAAAACAAAAAACATAATTATCAATTGTTTATATGTGATCAGCAATCTCAAAAATAATTGGCTGATTATATAAGAGTCATAGTGCAATAGGTCGCCAATTTATTTTTGTCTAAAAATAAAATAAAAAATAAAATAAAAAATAAAAAATAATATATATATAGTCTACTCTTCCAAAACTGATCCTGTTAAAACTGATAATCTGTTATATCTGATAAAAAATTTTTCTACCATGTCTGTTCTATAATTCAAACCCAATAACCTGTCATTTCTAATAACAGATACTCAAATAATCAGATATATATAAAATATTAGGTTTGTTAGATAATGTAAATCAATTTGATTGGCTCAGATTGAGCTTTGTATTACCAAGTATATATATACAGTAATAGATATACTCTAGCCAATTATATTTATTTATAATCACATAACTAGTAAGCCATTAGTATATTAAATCTGATAACCTCTCAAAACTAATACAAAAGCTATTCACTATGTCTATCAGATTTAAAAAAGTGTACTATAAAAAAATAAATAAAAATAAAAATAAAATTAAAAATTAAAAATTAAGAAAAAAACACAAAAAAATAAAAATAAAAATACAAAAGAATAAAAAAAAAATAAAAGAAAAAAAAAAAGAAAAAAAAAAAAAAAAA